TACAAGTCAAGAATGGGAAGTCTAAAAGTATTTCTTTTTTTTTTTTTTTTTATAAATTAATTTTTATTGGTGTTCAATTTACCAACATACAGAATAACACCCAGTGCTCATCCCGTCAAGTGTCCCCCTCCGTGCCCGTCACCCATTCACCCCCACCCCCCGCCCTCCTCCCCTTCCACCACCCCTAGTTCATTTCCCAGAGTTAGAAGTCTTTATGTTCTGTGTCCCTTTCTGATATCTCCCACACATTTATTCTCCCTTCCCTTATATTCCCCTTCACTATTATTCATATTCCCCAAATAAGTGAGAACATACACTGTTTGTCCTTCTCCAATTGACCTAAAAGTATTTCTTTTTTGTTGTTGTTTTCTTTAAACTCTACCCCTCCTACCCCCATCAGCCAGGTTTAAGTCCATGGCTTCCTATTAATGGAAGAGCTGACAGGAGGCTTTAGAGGGGCACAGGGCAAGGCTCTTAAAATCAGGAGCATCAGATGTTCCTGTATGTTTTCTGCTTCATTCTCTGCTCATCTTCCCAAAACACTGGGCTTTGTCATATCACTTCCCTACAAATGGCCATTGGCTTCCCACTGTTTTCAGGATAAAGTTCTTCATTCAAAAGCAGTGTAGTTCTGCACTTATTAGCCTCACACCAGTTCCCTGCATGACCGCAGAGTACCTCCCTGGTCCTGTCTTCCTCTGCTCCTCAAGGTGGAACCCCTCCCAGAGCCACTGTCCTCTCAGTGTTCCCTGAGTACACCCAGGGAATTTTTGTCTTCTTACTCTCTTAGATCATTTTCCTGATCTCAGATGCCCGCCCTCCTCATTCACTCATTCTTCACTCATTCAGTTAGTGTGTATTGGGATGCAGTACCAGCCACACAGTTTCAGTTCTGCACTTTCTAGACTATTCAAATTCTATTCATTCCTCATGCTGTGTTTCTTCTATAAGCTTCCTTAGTTGATAAAGGCTACCAGAATCTCTCCCTCCTCTAGACTCACAGCACCCAGCTTATTGACCACTCTCCCCATGCTTAGCAAAGCAGAGTCCCTGTTTGGACTTGAGTCAAAGCATCCAATGGTACTGCGCTCTGCAGAGGACTACCTCTGTGGCCTCCAACAGGTCAATGAGCATCTACAAGTTTCAGTTTCCTTGTCAACAAAATAGGAGAATGCTTATATCATTATTTTTCTTGGGAAAATGCTGTGGGATAATACAGGTGGGAGTTCACCTTTATGTAAGGAATTATCATTTCACATTCATATCAGTGTTTAAGTATGTGTTTTCTTAATTTTGCTAATTAGATACTTGGAGATTCTTTTTTCCAACAAAGCTGCTGGATGTAAAATGGACCCATATTGAGATTAGGCACCACATTAAACAGCAAGTCTCTTTTTGAATATAACATGACTCTAGAGATTGTTTCAGCAGCACAGAAATTAGTTGGGATTGTTATCATGGTCGAAGACAATAAGCCTCATCAGCAATCTTATTTGGATTGGTTTTGTAGATGAGAACATTCCAAAGACCATTCTTGCATTGTGTTTCAACTGAGAACCAGAGTAAAGTAAAACCAGATATTAATTTTCACCAAGCATAAAGTATTGGGATTTCTTTAGTGACTTTCATCCATCAGACGATTTTTCTCAATGTGAATTTTCAGAAAGCAACAATTTTGCTTGTTGCTGGGAAGTGGTGGGTTCTCTAAAGAAGCCTGAGTAGGCTCTAAAGCTACTTCACCCACTAGCCGTGGAGTACAAGGGCCTAGAAAAGTCTATCACTCTCGGTTGAAACTACTGGGGGAATTAAGTAGGCTAAGCCCTTAGAAGGTTCCTAGGTAACCTATTTGAGTTGAAATGTGACCAAGAATCCTTAAACCTTACCTAAGAGCAGGAAAGCTATAAGGATCGGAAGTGATTAGGGGCTTTGTTTAAGACCCCATCCAGAAGGGAGAGCCAACAACAAGGCTGCTCTGAGCAGCACCGGGACGGGCTGGGTCCTATTCGGTGCTATCTCTCGAATCAGCAATGTGATACCCAGCCGCACTTCCCTGGGCCTCACCAGGCCTCCTGGTCAGGGCTGACCAGGTGGAACTCAGGTGATTGTGGTGTACACAGTCCTTTGCTTCATGAGTTTAAATCACGTTTATAGGCACCGAGAAGTTCATGGTGAGAAAAGAAATGAATGAAACATGAAGCACTGCTGTCTAGCTTGCAAAGCAGGGGCGCTATGTCTGGAACGGTGAGGGTGGGCTGCAGACGTGTGTACACTATTTTTTTTCTTTTTGCCACTTCAGGCAGATAATCTGCAGTTTTCTGTCCCCACACATGTGGATACACTGGCAGGGACAGGTCCCTGGGTGGTGGCTGAGGAAGGGTAAAGGGGGGGAGGACAGCTGGCACGAGACACGGAGGCCGGAAACAAGTCCACAGTGTTTGTCTCTAGGCACCCACAGAATAATTGAGAATTGGTTCTTTCATTTCTGTCCTCTGCTCAGCTTTCCATTGCCCTGAATCTCTGCTGTCCCCAAGTGGCCATCTGAATCACTGAGGGGGCCATGGAGATACTATGAGGGTAGGTATAAGCTTGCTAATGCTTACTGTCTAACAAAGCTATATCACATACTCTGTACCTAACCTTAGTTTATCAAATAGCCCGGGGTGTGGTGGTGACATGGTCAGGTGTACAGGTATCAGGATCAGTCTGACTAGATTTCAAATCCCTGTGCAGGCATCTACTAGCAATGTGGGTGGGATCCTGGCCAGGTGCTAGCCCAGATGACTCAATGGTTTGGTGCTGCTTTGGCTTTTGGGGAAGGTTGCAAAGCTGAGCAGAGACACAGATTTTGAGCTGACATATATGGGCCACACCCTGGCTCTGTCATTTGCAATCTGAGTGCCCTTGGGTAAATGCTGTACCTGCCTGGTCTCTAACTTTCAAATACATAAAATGGGAATTAAGTGGGGATTAAGGAGAGCACTGCGTGATGGATGGAATTGCCAAATCACTCCACTGTGCACCTGAAACTCATAGAAGACTGTATGTTACCTAAGTGGAAATAAAATACAAACTTCAATAAGAAGAAAAAAATGAAAAAAAATATATAAAATGAGAATTCAGATACTGTCAGGCAAGGCACATGAAGCCTTTGGCATGTGATCATGAAGCGGTCAGTCCATGAGAGGCAGTAGTTGTTAATAGTATGTGGATAATCTTTGAGAAAAGAAAAGGAAAATCTGATTCTCTGCTTGATATCAACTTAAGAAATAGAGCTTTTTGGCCTCTCAATATGCTTGAACAACCAAATTAGTTGTGTAGAAGAGTATGTGGGATTAAATTACTTGTGGTGACCATGCAGAAATCCTCCCATAAACTCAGAGCAACTGTTTAGCAGGATTCCCATGATCTATGTATCACATCCACATAATAACTGGTGTGAATTCATTACTCCATATGGGAGTATAAAAGTAAATAATGTTATTGTGGGTAGGACTAGTTAGTAGAAAATCTTGTAAAGGATTCACAATATCTTCATGAATATTCTGGTTGATAAACCCAAGCATCACACTCTCCAAATAAAAAGATACATTTATCTTTGTGAGCTTCTCATTTTTCAGAAAGTACCAATCAGGCAGGTGACTTACTTATGGCTTTCTTTCAGGGAGGGAATATGTTCAGGAAATGGGCAGCAAAACTTAATCTTGAGCAAAAAGCATAATCCCTTCATCCAAATTGCAGGCCAGAAGGAAGAAAAGGTGACGAATAAGGGGGAGCAGAATGAAAATAAAACTTATGTATGGCTGGGAAGGAGTGCAATGGTCGGAGCCGAGAGCCATGTAATATGAGTGATATCACAGTCAATGTCATCTGCAGACAGACCTCCTAAGGCAAGTACAGCGCTGGATGACTTGAGCCAGTAATTCAGCTCGCTGAGCATGTGTTCAATGTTCATGAGCATTTCACGAGGGCTGTGATCCGTGCCAGGTCACAGCCCCTGTCTGTGTAGCCTCGGGCAAGTAGCTTACTTGCCCAGGCTTCAGAATTTCATTTGTAAATGGATGGGACTAGAACTAGATCGCATTTTGTGGCTTACACATTGGATATTGCTAAGATGGTTATAAAGAACTTTCAGATATGGTACTTGCCCTCAGGGAGCTCCAGTCTAGATGGGAGCTGGCCACAAGCACAGGGCATGCAAAGATAAGAAAGAATCTAACCATGTAAGATTCTCTTTAAAGGAACACTCAATGGGGCACCTGGGTGGCTCAGTCAGTTGAGTATCTGTCTTTGGCTCGAGGTCATGACAGATGACCTCAGTGGGAAGCCTGCTTTTCCCTCTCCCACCTTCCTTGCTTGTGCTCTTTCTTTGTCAAATAAATAAAAAACATTTTTTTTAAAGGAACACTCAGTGGCCAAGTTGCACCCAGGTCACTTGTGGGGCTATATGCCTTATGTCCTTCAGAGTGGCTCAGCAAGGGGTCAATGTTGAAGGGGGTAGATAGAGATGGAGTTGCCACTGTGCCTGCTTCTTTCTTTATGGCTCAGTTCCCCAGCAGGGGTCCTATCGATCTTCCTCACCTTCAAGATGAAGCACATAAGCAAAGAATAACAAGATATCAGTACAATCTGAGTACCATAAAACATCTTCCCACTTCTAAAAGAGAAACCTACAGTTTAAAACTCGAGGATTTTACTGAGTCCCAAGTGGAAAGTATCTGTGACTTATTTCATCATGCTGAGAATTCAACTCATAACAAATGAAAAGTAAAAATTTTAATTCTGAACAGAACAAATTTGGCCCTTTTAAAGGAAAAGCTCTATCAACCCAAATAGGAATTGTGACATGTAATTTTATCAAAATTTGCTTATAATACATGAGTGTTTTATCTTTGAGTGGCAATTTGAAGCACATCAGAACCAATGAGTTCCACAAAATTATCAATGATATAGAAGGATGAAAATATTGTGCCTGATTATTCCTTTTCTCTGTGTGTCTGTAGGCTGGATATGGGGAAGATTGAGAAGCTGGGCATTTGGTCATTATGGCACCGACCCCAGGAGCCTGGAGATGCAGCCCATCCTATCAACGCACATTTATTAATATGTCTAGCAGTAAAGATTAGATTTGCTTGCATGTGACAGAGAACCCTACATAATATTGGCTCAAGCAAGACAGACATTTATTTTTTTTATCATGTCAATAAAAGTCTGGTAGGAAGAAATCTGGCTATTAAGAAGTCTAAGAGCTCCACAAAGTCATAGAAGAACTGAACTTCTATTTTTGTATTTAAATGTCTTGCATGGTGGCACCTGGGTGGCTCAGTGGTTGAGCCCTACAGGGAGCCTGCTTCTCCTATAGGGAGCCTTCTTCTCCCTCTACCTGTATCTCTGACTCTCTCTGTGTGTCTCTCTGAATAAATACATACAATCTTAAAAAAAAAAATAAATGTCTTGCATGTGTGTCTTCTGTCTTAAGATTGCTTCATAGACAAAAATGGCTGCTGGAGCCTCCACTTTCTTATCTGAGTTCCAGGCTCAGGAAGGACAAGAGATCTGCCTTCCTCAGCTGAAGGCCATACAACACTCCCCCTCTGTTACTGACCCCAACTTAGTCAACATGTCCAACTTTAGGAGTAGTTATGAATCTTGTCTTGCTGCTGAGGGCAGTGGACTGAACAAAATAGCTGATTGGTTATTGAGGAATAAAGGGAGAATGAATGTTTCTAGTATCTGGCAGTCCCTGTCTCAGTGCATACTTAAACATGGGAGACCGGCTTGACGTTGCCCAGGATGCTCCTCACATTCTCTCTTTCTGTCTTCCTTTTCACTCTTATTTCTCCTAGCCAGTGCCCTCTGCTCTCAATCCTATTTTTCCCTTATTCTGGAACCTTCTCACATGAATGCTCCATGCTCTGTCTTGAATCTCCAGTTGGCCATCCTCAAAGTGCCAGGTGGAGAACAAGGTGGAGCAGATTCAAGCCTCAGCTGAACAGGAAAGACAAGCGCTGGACCAAACCGTGATGAGCAGGTAAGAGTTTGCAGAGAAGTCCATGAGGCTATGCGAGTGCCTGAGAGGAACAGAGTTAGCCCAGGGTGTATGAACAAGACTCTTCTAACTAGGAAAACATGGTTTCATGAACAGAAGTCCCTTCTCTCATTCTTTCTCAATGCTCTTTTACTCCCACTGTCCATTATCCCCATTTCTCAGAAGAGGGGTTTGCCATTTGAGACTCATGGTCCATCCCTCAGCCATCTGTGCACCGGCCTCTGCCCCCACAGCTCTGCTGTGACTCCTCTCATGGAGTCCACACATTCTCCAAGACGCCGCAGCCTAGAGCCCTTCCTTAGGTGTGGTCTTCATATCCTTCTCTCCCTGTGGCTTCCACAGAGTGTCCACACCCTGGCATGAGAAACTCTCTGCTGCAGGCTTCTCTGACATGGGACTCTCCTGGTTTCCTTCTCCAAGTCCTGGCCTTGTAGGCCACCCTCCGGCTCATCTTCTGCTCCCAGCCCATAAGGTGCCCTTGAACAGAACTCTTCTTAGCTTCCTTTGCTTCTTAACCACAAGATTTAGGTGGGTGATTTCTTCAGCTTCACATTTTCAGTTGTTGGCTTCACAAGGATGCTCCCAAATCTCTCTCTCTTGCTCCCTGCCCTCTGACCATCTGGGTAATGAACTGCTCCTCAGTTATGTGGTATGCTCAGTGGGCCCAGCCATGCGGTGGCCCCTGTGCACAGTCTCCTGCACTTTCCATGGGCCGCCTCAGGTGAGCCCCTTGCTTTCTGTCCCAGCAGTGCAGGTGCCTCCAGGCCTGCTCAATTGACACTGGCCCGGCTCCCCAGGGTAGCTGTCACTCTCTGGCCCCAAGCATGGTAGTGATTATTTCACTCATGTATTTGCAAATATTCAACAGCAATTACTGCCTGTGGCGTCAAGTGGACTCCCGGGCATATCCTCAAACACCCTCCACTTCTCAGTTTCCTCCTCTCTCCAGTCTCTCCCGGGCCACCACTGCTGAGAACCTAATGTTTCTCTTCAAAGCCTTGACTCATGTTATTCCTCAGCCTAGACTGTGCTTTGCCCATCTGCCTGACTTTGGAAGTCTAGGTGAAATGTTTTATGGAAACTTGCCTCATCTCTAAAATCAGGCTCCAATGGCATTTCATTGGCATCTGTCTATGGCCCCTGTACAGCTTATCTCCTGAACTTGACTGCAATCTCCTTAAAGATAGGGATTTGTCCTGAGTTTCTTCTCCTCTTCCTATCTTTCTCTTTTCTTCCTTTCCTTCCTTTGTTCATTCATTCATTTGTTCATTTATGCCTTCCTTCTTTCTTTCTTTCCTTTCTTTTTCTTTCCATTTCCAGTACTTAATAGAGGTTTTACTGGACAGGTGTTCAAGAAGCATTTACTAAATGAATAAACAAATTATAATCAAAAGAAAGGGGATCAGGGGCATATGGCCAGGCTGGTGTGCTCCTGTGCAGGTGACAGGTAAACATAGAGAGTCTTCTTCTGTTCTCCATTCATGGAGAAAAGTGTCTATTAAGAAATAGGAAAGTTTTACCTCCTATAACTTAGTCTGGATAGTGCACAACTTTTTTTGATGCAACTGTAATTGCAAGAGGATTGGGGAAACGTGTGTGCTTTTCCTGCCCACCCTCTGTGGCCAGTTACAGTTCACAGTAAATGAAGGAGCTTAGTGTAAGGAGTGAAGATGGTGAGTGCCTGTATGCAGACAGAGTGAAGAAGCCCCCACAGGAAGGGGAAAACAAGACAGAGCAACTAACATTTTGTAATCACTCAATTCATCTGCTTTTATTTTGATATTTCTCTGAGTAAGGTTATTTTGACTTAGAAGGCAAAATCCCTAAATTAGGTAAGGACCCAGCAATAACAGAAAAGACTTTTAACCTAGGCTTTGCATAGGAGAACTGAAACATGAAATCAGGAAGGATTCTAGTTTCTGAGACTGGAAATCCAAAATTGAAAAAGCCAATTTATCTTTTCATCCATTCTGACCTGGAAGCAAAATGTTGGCTTATAATTGAAAAGTGCTGAGATCCTTCAATGGAAATGCTGCCTGAGGAAGCAGAGCTATTTCTCCTCTTCTGATGGATGTCACTCAGATCCCATCTGGCTTAGCACTTGGTTATGTTGTGCTCATGGGCTGTATGACACCTGGTCTTTCCCATGTCCCGTTGTGTGCCCCAGGAGCTGTATTCACAACTTCTGGGGCTTTCATGCACCCCTTGAGCTTCCAGAGAAATCCACTGAAGTAGTGAACCAAAAATAATTGTTAACCATAATTCCTCAGGAATGGTAGCATCAAAAATGGCTGGGTGAGGGTACTCATGAATAACTTTCCATAGCCTTCTTAGGTCTCCCCTCAACAAACCAACTCATGTAAATGTGTAATTTAAGTAAGAATTAATTAATTAATTAATTAATTAATTAATTATTAAAGTAAGAATTCTGTGCTTGCTCTGCAAAAACAGTTTTAAGAGAATCTCCTTAGCCTCTTTCGATCAGATCGCCTCCCCTGAGAGTTTGGGAGCTGACATTATTACCCTGGCTTTAAAATTAATTCTCCTTCCCCCAAACTCACAGACCAAACCCAAAGGGTAGGTCTCAAAAGGGTATATATAAGGGAAATATTAATCTAGTGCCCCTTCTCCTCAAACAGTCATGAGCAATGAATTTAGAGGAATAGAGTCCTGGGCTAGGATATAGGATGAGAGACTAGGATAATCCACCTAATGAAGATTAAGAAAGGCAGAAAACATCAGCTTTCAATGATACAAGTAGGTGATGTGGCAACATGGAGTCCTGGAAAAAAGCCCGGCAGACGTGGGTTGATGTTATAGCTCTGCTACTAACTAGCTGTACTTTGGACAAATGTTTTCATCTCTCTGAGGTTTCATCTGCCTCCAACTTATGTTTGTTGTGAGGATTAAAAGAGGTGACTGAGGTAAAGGTAGGTGTCCCAAGTGGCAGCAGTGGCATTAGCCACAGTGACTGTCATGGCAATAACATCATGGCAATAATAATACTGTCATGGAGATAGTACCCAGCTATCTTCCACCTTGGATAAGAATTGAATAAGAAACTGACAAACTTTTATGAGAGGTATAAGTTGACTACATGAAATAATTTCCTGATAGTGACAATTGACAAACTTGGAGTCTGAGAGTCTCTGGAATGGTCCCTAAAATAGAACCCTTTCCATGAGGTAGCTGTGGCTTTGATATGGCTTTACAGGAAGGCAATGAGATAGATGGATTGGTATGCAACAGAATAGTGTCTATGATCCCATGATGAGGCACTGGGAGGTGGGAATTGTACGAGTCAAATTCTCGCTTCTCCATTCCCTGTTCAGACTAGATGGCAACATGCCCTCTAAGCAAGCAGGGAAGGAAATTTCACGTAAGAAATCAAATCCAGGTCAACAGCATTATTTGGGAGAAGCACTGTGGATGGCTGTGCATTCCTGAGTCATGCATTCCTTTACAAAGTGTAGTGAAAGAACTACTTGGTTACTTTGGATTTTTTTTGCCTTGTCATAAATGTTCAGTTAGCAGCTGCTCAAGGGAACACATGCCATCATTTATGCATTTAAGAATCCTTAACATTGGGAGCCCAGAGTAATGCCTTAAGATCTGGGAGGAACTAGACACCACCACTTACAATTTTAAACTAGGAACTCACGAAGTGCTGGTCAAGTGTGGGTGGGAACTGCTGCTTTGGGAACTTCCAGACACCCACTAAGGTACTTTTCTGCTTTTTAGTGTAGAAAGAGTGACCTTAAAAGCATTTTGTATAAAAAGGGAAGCAGCGACTTGAATCACTATCCCATGTTCTGGAGGTCTGGAGGCAAAAATCATTTGAAATGTGTAGGGAGATAGAAGAGCAAAGTGATGATTCTTACATAAGTTAGGATGCTCCCACCTTATTGTAGGATTCAAAAGCCTAAATATAGAGTCCAGAGGAGGAAACCTATGTCAGTATGGAGAACAGTCGTGTTGTGGTTCCAAAAAGGGGTTAAGGGATCTTTATAGCCCCAGCACACAGATCTTCTACATTTTTGCCCTGGATGAGATAGGACCATAGTGCAAAATCTTTCTGTCCTGAGAATGACTGTTTCTGGGAATTTCAAATCCTATGTGTTACTTTTGAATTTTTTTTTTTTGGTTATGGAATAGATACTTAGAATTGTAAAGAAATGTAGAACAAAGAAAAAAAAAGAAAAGAAATGTAGAACATAGCTCCACCCAGTATTTTAATTTTTAAGGTAACTATTTTTTTTCCTGATTATACTGTTCATTGTGGAAGAGGTGGGAAACAAAGAGAAGGATGAAGAGAAGTCATGTATGTTCTCCCTACCAAGAAACAGCCTTCACTGCCATTAAT